AACTACGTCACCTGCTGGAAGTGGTTATACCAAGAACATCGGCTGCTGCAGCAGTGTTCTTGGTACCATTTTAAACAGCCGGCGATTGCTGTTGAAATACAAGTGATCCGGTGTCTGTACAGACGCTGGATCGCTTGTACGATGTGGCGCTGTGTCGTCGATAATCTTACAGCCGCTGATCTCTCCTCCGATCACTGGACCCGGAAGTGATATGTATTACATCACTTCCGGTGTCACTGGGCACATTCTCTGGCTTCTAGAGCCAAAAGAAGCTGAAGCAGATCTCTCTCCTGAAATCATTAGTCTGTATTGTTTTAGAAAAACTGTCACGTGACAATAAACAAAAATGTATCAGTACTTGTATCTGTGAGGACTTGTAAAAATGGTATTGGTGTATTATATATATTAGGGATGCTCCGATACCGATCCAAACATCGGTATCGGCGGCGATACCGAGTATTTGCATGAGTACTCATGCAAATACTCAGATACAAAAAAACGAGTACCTGTGCCGCGTCCACCATCTTCAAGGACCCGAAACCGTCTTCAATGAAACAAGATGGCCACGAACTCCTCCTCCAAGTCCTCAGTCATCTGCTCCATTCTGACCCCTTCTCCCGCTGATTGGCCGATTGACAGGCTTCCTCACCAGTGACTGGTGATGAAGCCTGTCATCATCCAATCGGCCAACCAGCGGGAGAAGAGGTCAGAATGGAGCAGATGACTAGGCTGTGACACAGAGTGGCTGAAGCAGACGGAGAAGACGACACAGCAGGTTAGTACTGCAGCACCGCATGGGGGCTCGGCCCATAAATGCTGTTCAACTGCATATAATATTTTTTTTTAAAAGGACATTAAATAAAGAAATAACTGTAGATATTGCTAACTAAGGCTTGTATTTCCCGCCTAGTTGGTAAAATAGATGAGCACATGTCCAGACTCCAGACCAGAACACTGTATAGTGTGGCACAGCTATATCCAATTCTGCATACCTGGCTTTATTTAAGAAAACAAAATGTAATAATAATAATAATATAAAGCCAGTTATATTCAGTTAATTTCATTATTCAATGTTTTTTTTTATATTATACATTTTATAATATAAAAAAAAACATTGAATAATGAAATGAATATTTAGATCATGCCATTGCTAACTAAGGCTTGTATCCCCATAGTGGGGAAAATAGATGAGCACGTGTCCAGACTCCAGAACAGTGTATTATTGTATAGTGTGGCACAGCTATATCCAATTCTGTATACCTGGCTTTATATTATAAAGTTCCTATAATATAAAGCCAGGTATGCAGAATTGGATATAGCTGTGCCACCTTATACAGTGTTCTGGTCTGGAGTCTGGACATGTGCTCATCTATTTTCCCCACCATGGGGATACAAGCCTCAGTTAGCAATGGCATGATATTAATTTCATGTTCTTCATAATATTAAGAAACTGACCTAAAATCATTATTTTGTATTGCTTTAGAAAAAATGTGACCTGCCCCTTTAATAAAAAGTATCGGTAATTGGTATCGGTGAGTACTTGAAAAAAGTATCGGTGAGTACTTGAAATAACTCCGTATGCTCCTTACAAGTGACAGCTGCCTCCTAACTTTTGAGTTTTTTTCTAGTCTAGTCTTGGAGCTGGAAAAGTATCTGTACTTGTACCGAGTACGGTACTTGGCATCTGTGCATCCCTAGTTTAAAGCGCCGCCTATGGGAAATTTTGGTTATTGTAGTTCATTGTGGCTTCACGGACGCACACAATTTTAAGGCTTGACATGTTTGGTATCTATTTGCCCGGCATGACCCCATCTTTTATATTTTACCAAAAAATGTGGCATTATATTCTGTTTATGTGCACTAAATTTCACTTTAGTGTATTTTATCCTACTGGTTTGATAAACATTTGCGCAAATACCGTGTGACATTCAAAATTGCAACTAGCATCTTTTTATTCTACAGGGCCTCTGCGTTCAGAAAATATATAATTGTTTGGGGGATTTTAAGCCGTTTTCTAGACAAAAATTCTGATTTTATCATGTGTGTGCAAATGTAATTGCTCCGGGCAGCAAATGGTTAATTGGCTCAGACTGCCAGCTTCTCTGCACAGGAAACTCTGAGCTCCCCCTCATTGACTTAAGGTGGCCATACACTTTACCATCCCAAGACCTTAGTCTTGCGATGGTTGTAAAGTAATTTTAAAAAAAAACATACGATCTGCCCATCTTGGACAGGCAGATCGTACTTGCGATCATCGCAAGCCCGCCCCCGAGGGACGGGCTTCCGATGACTGCAATGCTGAACGGGCAGTGTGAGCACACCGGCCCGTTCGGCATTTGTCCCCTGAGCATCATTCAAACCAGCCGAAAATCGTGCAGTGTATGGGCACCCATACAATGCTTTTAGATCTTTAGCCCTTTGTTGGGACAGACCATATCTAGTTTACAATTAATAATGAGACCTCCAAGCACAGTACAGACAGGGTGAATTCTGGTAAACATCAACTCCCCAGTCCCCTTGCATTCCAGAGGACAATTCAGTGTAGAGAAAACCTCTTCAGTTACGCTTCTCTTCAGTTTTGTTCAGTTACGCTTTGAAAATAAAAAAAAAAGAGAAGCTGTTTGGTTGCCATGCACAGCTGCTCCAGTGCTGATATACCCCCCTCATAGATTCTACATACATACATACTAAAGCTGGCCATAGATTTTCGATCGGACATTTTCGCCAAGAACCCTCTTTTGATTCTAGCTGAAATACCCCATCATACACAGACCAATGTTGATTTTGATAATCGTTCGTTAGCAATACTAACTCACCAAATTTTGTCGATCGACAGAATGGATTTTGGCTTGCGCATGTGCAGTGTTCATGTTGCGATTTTTTTTCGTACTAAACCACCACTAATCCATTGATTTTTAGAGCTGCAGCTGACGATTATTTTCAAAAATCCGTTAGCCGATTGAGTTTGATTAATCGGTTAAAAAATAAAATACATTAAAAAAATGGCTCCAGTGATGGGACTACTAGTTTGTATTGAGATTGTAGTCCATCACAGGAGCAAGCTTGGAGCGGTGGAAGTAAAAGAGAAAAAAAAAAAAAGTGTGGCGTGCAATATAGTAAAATATAGTGTAAAATTATACAGCAATCAATGCAGAATGGCACCGGCTATAGAGGACTACAAAACCCAGCAATACATTATACAGCGCAATGCAGAATACCGCCAGCTATAGAGGACTACAACAAATCCCAGCAATAATATATTATACAGCAAAATGCTCTGTACTGCGCTGTATAATGTATTATTGCTGGGATTTGTAGTCCTCTATACAGCGCAATGCAGAATACCAGCAGCAATATAGGAATGCAACAAATCTCAGCAATAGTACATTATACATACAGTGTATAATGTATTGCTGGGATTTGTATACCTATGTATAATATACAGCACAATGTACCATCAGCTATAGAGGAATACAAATCCCAGCAATACATTATAGAGCCCCATGTGGGGGAAAGTGCAGGCTTACCTGAGCAGTCTTCCAGCAACTTGCTTCTGAGATCGGGACTGTCTATCGGCGGCTGTCATCCCCCCACACCTGCTCCTCCTTACTTCTCCCCGTGTCCCTGTGCCGATCGTGGATGTGGGAGGGCGGTGAGCGTGAGGCGTGTGGATGCAGGCGGGTCTGGCAGCGGCGAGGTGGGGAGGAGGTGCGGCGCGCAACGTGTGTGGAGCCGTGAACAGGGCCAACTAACCAGCAGTCGATTAATCGATGATTGAAAAAGTTGACAACTTTTTCAATCATCAATTAGTTGTTGCAGCCCTATTGATTTTCGTACGATTCTAAAAAAGTTTTGCAGCCTGACCCTTCGAGAAAATTAATCCAGAAGTACAGTAATTAAAATTGTTGGCGTCCCATCAACTGATCCATTATCGTTTGAAAGACCATTTGTGGATCATTTCTGAATGAAAATCGATTTAGAGGGGTATTTATCAAAACTAGAGCAGACAGAATCTGGAGCAGCAGTGCACGGCAACCAGCTTCTATTTTTCATTTTCAAAGTTTAAACTGAACAATCCGAAGATAACAGCTGATTGGTTGTTATGGGCAACTGTTCCCGTTTTGATCAGTTCCCCCCTCTGCTGGGAATATTTAATCTAATGGAGAAAGGTGTTTTTGTATTGCAGACAGTTTCTTGGTGTCTGAATTGTTCCACCACATCATATGAATCCTTTACAACAACACTATGTTAAGCTGCCCATACACCTGCCGATTATCATACGATAATGGCGGGTGATCCCGCGATCGTACGATAAG